TATATATATATAAAACCGATTTTTATGAAGAACAAATCTTTCCCACTAAATTGGTCGTGTGACTAGGAGGACAGGGTGTCCAGTGAATTAATTGTCAAATTAATCGTTTTCGGCCAAATACCACAATTAGTGGTGATTAATTTTTTTTGCCAGTATTGCCCAACCCTAATATGTATTAACAAGCCTTGAGATTTGTAATTTTTTTTTCATCCCAACAAGTTTCCTTGAAAATGTAAAAGAATGTTTCTTTTCCGTTACTGAGCAATCAAAATATGTTAAAATGGGATGGAATAAAATTTAGAAAATGAAGGCAATGACGTCCTGAGGGTGGACACTATGTATTCGTTTTGTAGCCAAGGACCTAAAGATTAAAATTTAGGACATTTGAGMTTTTTTGAAACCCAAATCTCAAGAACACCGCTGCAGTAATAATCTGGACTTTTAGTTTTTAGTCGTTTAATTCATCTGGTGGTTTTAATTTCACAAGCTGCATGGTGTTGGCCTCTGTTGGCCTCACTGATCTAACTTCATAAAGGCTCACAACGCAGGGAGAGTAATTTTGTCATGTTTAACATCCTCAAGGACACGCAGAATCAATTCAAGCATTGTTTTTTTTTCTTCTTTTTTGCAGCTGCGATTCTCAAACAGAGGAATCCTTTTCTGTCTTTGCAGCTCATCTCAAGGGCGTGAGATAAACTCCAGCTCAGACAGGCCGCACTTCCTCTCATCTCCATCTCTGGCTGCTTCTTTCTGCAACTCAAACCTATTCGATCTGAGTTCTGGCCGGCAGTGCTGTTCTTCAGGAGGAGTGGCAAAAAAAGAAAAGAAAAAAAAAAAACAATCCTAATCAGCCTGATAGGATTTTGGCAAAGGAGGTTTGAAGTGTAATTTAAAATGACCTCCTACAAGCCTGAAGCCCCCTAACTGAGTTATGGTTCACCTCAGAGGGAGTAATTGAACAGAGAGGAATCGATCAGGTCGTCCATAAAAGCAATCGTCAGATGGCGACGGCAATTTAAATCACCTCAGAGGCTGAGTGTTTCCTTTTGTTGGAACAAAGGGTGGCTGCATCAGCTCATATCTGGTTATTTGACAGGAAGTCTGAGAAGATCCTTAAATACAGTTTGTCAGAACTGCCAAGTCATTGAGTTCAATGGGATTGTCTTTAAAGGTCAGAGCGCGTTACAGTGAGTTTTATTTCTGTTAATAGTCTTTGATACCCTTAACAGAGATAGGCTCATTGTGAACGAAACCAAAGATTTGAGGGTGGAGCAGGACAGGCATACAGCTGTGCAATCATCAAGAAAAAACWGTATTTTATCAACCAGGAGGTTCCCAAATAGTGTTTAGTTTTAAACAAGGCAAAAATGATCAACTTAAAGACATTGCTCGTTTAAGAGAACAACACATTTTTCAGACCATGTTTGTGTGATTGGCTGAGGGGTGGTGGGAATCTGACCTGTGGGGACATGTCTCACATCCTCCATCAAAGACCCCCCGCTGAGGTCTGCAGTTTGCAAAAAACTTGACTTCAGTCCAAAACAGAGAGCGTCACAACCAAACGCCTGAGCTTTGCCACCAAAAATTTCTGAGAACTATGGAGGACTGAAACTGACATAATTAGAAATAAAAGTGGAAATATATATAAATGGACCAATAAACAAATAAATACACTTAAAATTCACCAATTAAATTAAAAAAGGAAAACTTTACCTCATGTTTTTATCATTTAATTGACCTTCATATTTTTCTAGCTTTGTTCCGACAAGTTATATATTTTAGAACATAATTTAAATTTCACTGTTTTAACATATAGTTTTTCCTTTTACTTGTACAAGCATTCGTGTCTCTGCTTTCTTTCATGTGTTGCTTTTACATTTCTTTGTCTCCTATTTTTATTTTACCTTATGCATTCCTGCCTCTATATGCAAATAAGGTGGGCGGTCCGGTCCTTCCTGGGTCAGCTCCTCTCCTGTTGTTCAGGAAGCAGGATCCATGTGCAGCTCTACAGGGCATGCTTGTGCTGCCTCAGTTTAGCTTAAAGTTTAGTTAAAAACAAAGGCAAGTAGGAAAACACTTAACTGTGCCTTTGTTTTAAATTATCTGCTTTTATTTCTAATTATGTCACTTTTGGTCCTAGAGAAAGCCAATATAAATTTCAAAATCAAACTTTTCAAGTCATAAACATGTGATTTCAATTTAAAAAAAAGATTTTGTAAACTGTATTTTACATTCAGAAAAACAAAACCCTGTTTAATTTCCATTTGCTCCTAATGTTTTATTAATATGCTCCCATGTTACATCTTTCAACCCCAAAAATTTTTCTTCTCCTTTCACAACGATTTAAAAATTTTTTTTTCTGTTTTACTTGATCTGTACAGTTAATGACATTTGCAGTGAATAACATGATTTTTTCCCCACTGTGACTTCTGTATTTGTTTGGACCATCTGTTTTTGGTTTGGTGTTACTGTTTGTTGAATTCTGACTTCTTCTGCTCTTACTTTTTGTCCTTGTACCTTTTTAAGCTGATGTTGTTGACCGTTTGAACTTGTTGGATTTCTACTGCTTTTTTCTTTATCTCACATCCCCCATATGTCACCCTGTGTTGTCCTCCACAATTG